TCTTTAAAGATCAATAGATTTTCAAGCAAAGATGTGACAAGAATTAAAAATATCAACTGTCTAATGTTGTTTTACACTCAAGCTAAAATTTGAGGTAATGTATGGTAGAGGGTGTGGTGTATAGACATGTAAATCTTGTTGATAAAAGGGTTAACCAATCAAACTTGCACAGACCATAGTACTCAGAACACAAATTAGAGAACCAGTGCTAAGGAAAATGAACTGAGCATGTTCTTAGATCTCTGCCACGGGTTGTCTAAATATGATCAAAACACAAACACACACAAAAATAAAATGGTTTCACCAATACTATGTGCATTCATAAAAATCTCAATCATTATTGACATTTTCTAAGCATATGCCAGGCTATCAGAAAGTGGGAATGAGAAAAAAACAAATGAATAAAACTTGGAAGGGGGTCTGGAAAGGAAGGATAAAGGAGGGCGAAGGATGCAGAGGGGCTAGAAACATTTCTCCTCAGGGTGAGAGTATGGCTACACAAAGGCTAAAGAGGGGCAATATCTCTCTCTTCCATTCATTAGTCCTTCTTGGTTTCTTTCTTGCTTGCCAGGTTGTTTTGCTCCTCGTCTCAAACTGACTGCTGAAAAGAGGCTATCTTTTTTTAGCATGAAAGCATCGTCACCAAAAGTAAAATGCCCACCTGACATCTGTGTGATTATCAGTGTGTAAAATTATGAGTAACACGATTTGAAAATCATGTAAAATTAAGAAACAAACTATAGTGTAACTTGTAAGGAATATTTTTATTCACACTGTGTCCATTGACAAGATTTGGTTGTCCTTTTCTAAAAATGTACCTAGTGGTATATTGAAAAAAATAATAGTTATCTTGTTATTTGTAAAGTAAGATTATTTTCACATGTATCAGAAAAAATAACCACAGCTTCCTGTATAATTGTTTTAACAACAATTCACTGAATCGAAATATGGCATCCAATTTGAATTACCATTGTTCTGGACTTCCTAGCCTCGTCTTCACATGGAAACATAAAAGGATTATCACATGTGTGAGAGGCTAGTAAGTCTACAACAATCATTATGGCAATTCAAATTGGACACCATATTTCGATTCGGTGTATAGTTTATATATTATTCTTGCAACTTTTTTCTTCCCCAAAATCCAATTCTATTATAAAGAATGAAATTCACCAATTATGCTGTTTTTTTTTTCTTTCGATTGTTTAGAGGGTATGATTTTCTGATAACAAAAATATAGCAAACAAAGGCCTCTCCTTAGCAGATAAATTGAAAATGTTATCTTAGTTGCTTTCCACCTTTACATAAATTGTTACATACAAAGCATACGATCCTGACAGTAATTAAATCAGTTTTCCAATAGTAAATAAAACCAGTTTTAAAATGTATACTAAAACTGAATCCAAACTGGATTTAAACAGTATTGATATCATATTGATATCATTTAATATATATTCTGCAAAATAGTAAATAAGCATTTCAGCCTCTGTGTAATATTATGTTGGTAGGCAATTAAACTGTCAAGTTAATCTAAATTTCGATTCATGTTTCTCTTGAAGGAGAGCATTCAGTCTAGTATTTTTGTCACTATTAATACTTGTCATCTGGTTAATTCTGGTGTATTGTCATCATGTAAATATTCTCTCACAAGCACGATGCATTGTTCATATGTACAGAAAATGATTGCCACAGACAAACCAGCCTGAAATAGGACAAACAAGTTATTTTGTTATGAATTAAAGTTGGCCTGAGAACCAAGTGCCCTATCTGGCTTGAGTTAACCCTTTACACCCCAACACAAATTGCATATTCTCCATACTGTTCTCTATAATTTCCTAAGATGCCAACAAGGAGAATTTCTTTAACAATCAAGAGGGTCTTTAGTTAGTGATCATTTCTGTTATTCTCACGACCTTAATGTTTGACTCAGGGGTGATATTGTGGAGAGAGATTAGATGCTGGTCACCATTAGGCTAAGGGTAAAAGACTTAGTTCTGGTTTGCTTAGCATGAAGCAGCAAATGGTAGTACTGCTACTTAACCTGATGGTAAGCTACTCCACCCCAAGTTACCCTTCAGCATTTCCACAGGCTTTGGTGTTAATTTACTGCAACCCAATTATTCTCCTGGGTGGAGAGAGGCACTGAAGAGTGAAGTGTCCCACCCACTGACACAAAACAATGACCTCCCCCCCCCAGGGCTTTAACCTGGACATTTCCATTTCAGTGGTCTAACCATAAGCAGGGTTCTTGCACTTTTTCACGAACCCAATTCAAGGATTTTCAAGGACTTTTTAAGTCATTTTCAAGACCTTGTCTCTCAAATTTAAGGAGCTTTTGCATTAAATAGGAGCCAATAGAAATAAAAAACATTGTTATTTATTGTTAAAAGTAACAAATAAAGATACACTCATGTCTTTGTAAGGTACAAAATATATAAAAATCACATGTCAAATGTCATAATCGGATGCAGGATTTGAAAGGAAAACTCGTTTTCATGATTTGTGCTAGAAACTTACACTTTCAACACCAGAAACAAAAGAAAACTTTGACTTTGATTCATCTGCACTTATTTTCAAGGACTTAGCAGAAATTTTCAAAGACCCGAGTCTAAATTCAAGGGTTTTCAAGTCCTTGAATACAAAAAATTAACTTCAAGGATTTTCCATGACTTTCAGGGAGTGTGGGAACCCTGTATTAGGTCACTGCCTCTCTGAATTCTTTTCAATACAAAGGAACTTTGTCTAGTAGTATCTAAATATTGCTGAAGATAAGAGAACTGCTACATAAAAGTGCATGCATCCTTGATCATGGTAACTATGGTAAGATTCTTTAAGGGTTTTAAGCAAAGTGATGTGAGGCTGGGATGAGATGCTTAATAAGAACCCAAACATTTATCGTTGTGAGCAGTGATCCTAAAGTAACTCCTGTTTTGCCATACATCACTTGATGACAATGCATTAAGTAACAAATAATGGCTGCACCCTACTCACCTTAAGTGTACTTGGGGCCAGTCCTTTGAAAAAGCCAAAAGCACCCTCTTCTCTAAGGATAATTCTAAAGCAGTCTAACATGCCATTATATTTCTGAACTCTTCCAAATATCTCCCTGGCATCCTGAAATCCTTGAACCTTTGGCATTAGAATAAAAAAAAAAAACAACAACAACAACCTGAGCAAAAATCAAGATTATTAAACAAAAATTTAACAAGAGAGAAATTTGTATCAGCTAGGAGGTAGAAGTACAAATATCTAAAATCAACCAATCATTTTTTTCTGTCAACACAAAAGCCAAGGTTTGTGAAAGATAAAGTTTGTAAGATGAGGTTTTGTCATTTTAAACCAAATGACAGAATAAGAATTCAAAATAACACAAGATCAAATGAAGTAATTAAAAACAGTTAACTTTGAAATACATGTCAGTAAATGAAATCTCAATACAAGTTATCATATATAAATGCTTTGTATCATATAAAATAATATCAGTCAATAATGAAGTGTATTAGTACTGGTATATAGAGGTACTTTTGGCATGTGCTGATTGGCTAATTTGGAAGTGAATAGCAAGTACCTCTGAGCAGCCAGAGAAACAAAATCATACGTGAAGTTTCATTTCTGTCCATTTTTTGGTAAATTGAACGAAATCAAGTAATCTTTTGGTCTCTGTGTGGTATATAGTAAAACAACTATTCACCTCAGTGTCAGTGAGAGTGGTGGATATTTACCATGCCACAAAAGGCAAGATAAATATCCACCATTAATCACCTCCACTTTAGTGAATAATTGTTCATTAGAAAACATGCTATGGGAGTTATAGGAATTTAAATTTTACAAAATTAATCATTGAGTGAGGTGTAAAGAAAATCCTGACATAACTTGTATTGGGATGAGGATTCTGACTATCAAAGAGGCAAGTTCTTCAAGTTACAATCAGTATTCAGGTTAGACTTACCTAGCAGTGGCATCATACAGTTTTTATAAGCAGTTAGACCCCATTTGTAATGAAGGTTTCGGTTTAATGGCAAACAAACACTGTACCCAACATTCCAACAAGTCCCAGGCAAGAGTTAAACAGAAATGAATAAAAGAGTTGATTAAACCAAATTAACATTCAAACGGAGTTACCCAGAGTTCTATTAAGTTCTATTAATAATCAAGTGAGGGGTAAAGAAAATCCTGAGACAACCTGTACTCCATTGTTTAGACCAAATTAACATTCAAATAGAGTTACCCAGAGTTCTATTAAGTTCTAACATTGAATATGTTTGACTAGTTAAAACAACACACCTGCAGCCTTTTCTTCACCATATCTAGAGGATAAATAACCCCTTTGCTAAAAAATCCTGCTATTGCTCCACAAACAAGACTTTCATCCACCCCTGCTGCTTTGTAAGGATCTTGTCTCTATGATAAAATAAATATTTTACATCTTAGAAAAAGTAATGAGCTGTATTCCAAGTGGAACAATTGTTAGTTCAGACACTTAGCATGAGAGTAATAACTTTCTGTTGGATTGTGTTGAGGGTTACTGTTACAGTATACTCACATTAATCATGATACTTTTGCAAAGTAAATTAATTTATTTTTCACCTGAAGTTTCCAAGAAAGAAACATAGACCAAAATATTAGATACAGATTTGGATAGATAAATTGTCTGATGATCAATTAATAATAAAACATGCTTTTTTCTCATCAAGCAGACTCTTGGCTCATAACACTTAAGTTCCCATGATTGACCAAGACAGAATTTTTCCTCACAATATCAAGACAACATCAAGCAGACAAGAGATAAGGATGAGAATGGAGAAAATATCAATTAATGGATTATTAGCTGATCCAATACCAAATTCTCCAAACTAACATCATAAGAATTGTATGGCAGAAAATAAGACAAGTTACCATGATGAGATTTTGGGAATGAAAGAGAAAAATCACTGAGAAAAACTGAAAGGTGGCTGCATGACAACAAAGAGCATCCCAAACTTTTTTTCCAATACCTGCCTCTCCCCTTTTTGATTGAATTATGTGTAACAACTGCAACTGGAATTTAAAATGCAAACTTATAGACAAGACCTGATAGACTCAGAAAAACAACAAAAATATCATCTTGTTTACTCCATAAACAATTGTCACCAAGCCATTTTCCCCAAAATGAGGGCATGTAACATTTGACTGCTGAATATCCATACACTTCTAATCTGTAACAGTAATACCAGCATACCTTAATCCTAAATGAAATTTCCCAAAGGGTCTTAAAAAATGAATAAAAGCCAAACTGGAGCCCAGCATGAGGGAAAATCTGCACTAGAGTAGGAGCAAGCCCTGAAAAGACAAAGAGAAAGTGTTGGTAATTCTATGATGAAAACAATTTTTTGGCATTTGTCATGCAAAATATTCTGACTGACAATAGTCAAACATTTTGTCTCCAAGAGTTATCATTGGATAAACTATCCTTATAATTCAGTACACCATGAAGTGAATGGGTGATAAGATTTCAAAAAATTTTCCAGAGTTCCTTCCTTTTTCTGAGCAAAAATTCCCAAAAATTAACAAAGAAATACTGTAGGTGTTAATGAGTAGGAGGAACTGTGTTTTAAATCTTAGAAAAAGCCCATAATGTATACATTTTTATAGGAGAATTTGTACTGAAATGGCTTTGTAATAGAATAGATGGGAAGAGAAATTACAAGATTAGTACCATTATAATTATAGTAACATGATAATATCGGATAATATGAATATAGACAATACAAGGAAAATCCTTGTCCTTGATCTAAATACAGGATACCTTAACTAAAAGTGTTGTTTACATGGCGAGTATTACATCAATTCATATATTTAACAATTGGTTCATACGTCAGCAAGCATTCATCGAGATATGAATCACGCGGGAAGTTTGGAGAGCACAAAAGATGCACAAGAGTTGCTCGGGGCGTAGCCGAGAGCAACTCTAGCTTCTTGAGTGCTCTCCAAACTTCCCAAGTGCTTCATATCTCGATGAATGCACAGCTGACGTATGAATCAATTGTTTTATAACATTTTCAACACTGTAGTTTATGTATAAAGGGCAGAAATTCCCTCTCCTATG